TGCAGATCAATTCAGAAAAGGGGATCACTTTTAATTTTCAACAGCAAAAAATGAATAAAAATCAACACAAAGTAAATTAGTTGGCGGTAAACTGGGCAGTGGTTTGATGTTTCTGGTTCAGTGTTTGTCTGTTGAGAAGGATGTTGCTGTGGTTTTTATTCAGAGGGGCTTCAAGGCTTCAAAACAGAAGCAAGAGGTCAGTGTTGTGGTTGGAAAATCATCAAACCACAATGTGTGCAAGCAATGCATGCATAAAGGTGCACACCCAGCTGCAAACAGACATCTCACTGAGGCTTTCTTATTTTAACAATATAACTTTAAACTCATTTAACAGTTTTTATATTGAATGTGTTGATTATAATTAAAAAAGTGAAAGGAACAATCTGACTTTGTTAGTCAATGATTTCTTTTAGAATACAATAACTAATCTGTTTTCTTTCTAAATTTAATCTGGTTACTAAATATTGTATTTTAAATTATATATTTTACTAGTGTTATTTATATATTTCTAAAGAGTTGTTTATAACAGCATAATAGCCCTTAACAGGTAGAAGTTAGCGGTGGTCCGCTGAAGTTCACAGCAGCTCTTAGCACTCTGTACTGAGCAGTTTCTCTCTGTTGCTGCTCTACAGGAAGTGATGCTGTTAACAATTTTCATTCGTAGACACGTTGTATTGCGTGTGCATAATCATGTGGTTTAAGCAATGCCTCCTTTTAGCTATAATTGTATTTAATAGTGCTAAAATAAAATTAGTATTGAGCTGCGCAGTTCAGAGAGTAATAATATTTTAAATAGAGTGGAACAGCTTCAGGAAAAACAAACATTTTTGTAGTAAAACTGTTTTTAATCATAGCTAATTGTTTTGATAACTAATGTGAGCTCCGTGGTTGTTGTTATTTTTCTGAATTCATCTGTTCACATTATTTCAACATTTTTAAAAACATTTTTGTTAAAATTTTATTGTTTTTGTACAATTCAATCAGTTTTGTGTCTTATATTTAATACAGTTGAACAGTAATATGCATAATGCAGAACAACAACAAAAAAAAACAAGGCGTTTGTCTTATATTTGAGTTAATAAATATCACACTGATGCAAATGCAATGATGGGGCCTAAGCCGAAAGTGTAATCATTTTTATATGCTTGTAATCTCTTCTTTATATAGTCCTCCACACCTGTTCTCAATATACATGTTCACACACACAAACACACTGCATATTTACCTAAAAGCCTAGTTGGTTGAGATCATGGCTTATAAAACTAAAAACCCCTTACTTTGAGAACTAAAAAAAAAAATCCTCATGGGAATAATGAACGAGAAGAATTCATTACTGCTGAAAAAGTGTGTGAGCACTAGTGCAGTCTATAGCACATGCTGGAAAAATGTCCAGTCAACCATTTTAACATGAAAGTCATACAAGTACCATCCAAGCAAAGGCCAATTTCCCCATGTGGTAAATAAGATTACTCAGATGAATCAACAACTGATTACTAACCACATCTTTTGGAGGCTTTCATGGACACTTTGCAGCACACAATCCAAAGCAAACTACCCAAAACTGCTGGCTGAACATATAAAATAATACTTTGCATATTATTGTTTATGATGACTAATTTTCCTAATTACAGTGTCAGTGTTTTACATCAACTCGAGGCTCAGCTCTGGTGATGAAACAACTTTGTAAATCAAAAAAAGATTGCACACAGTTAGGGAAATGGGCGGGGCTTAATGAGCAGCTCCTCCCACTTTTAAAAATAGCCAGTGACATTTTGTTTACATTACTGGTCTAAAAAAAACAAAGAGAAGTGAAGAGTGATGTTATCAAAATTATCCATACTGGTGAAACAACGAGATTAAATTTAAATGCAAATATATTTTGAATGCACATTTCATCACTGTTGTGCTCTGTTAGCATATAGATCACATTAATAATAAGTTTTAAAAATAATAAAAGTAGTTAGATCTGATTTGCAGAATTAAGGAAATCTTAAATATAATTTTTTAAAATCTTGTTTGTTCAAGTGTAGAATGATAAAAATGAAAGAAAATAAAGCCTAATACTGTGTCTCTGTCCATGGTGCTGAAATCATACTTTTGACACTTTCACATATTAGATTTTGATCATATGAATACTTTATGCCCTGATCTGTGACATTTAAAAATTATGTATTTGTTATGCTACATTGTGGGCCTTTTATCTAATGTCACCAGATTAAAGCATGAGGTCAAATGGCACAGCGCTGCACTTGAGCGAGCTGCTATCACACTTTAATCAGAAGCGCTTCCGTGGAAACTTTCAACCACAGCAGCTCCTCATTCTTATTGGGTGACTGTGAGTGGCCTGAGCTCATAGTCTAAAACCACAAGTGTGTAAAGTTTAATGCAACAGTTTCTACCAGCATTAGATAAAACACACACACATACACACTATACTGTAACTGTCTTAAACAGCATTTGATAATTATTATTATGCATATTATTATTTATATTATTATTAGTAGTATTTATTATTAATATATCTTATTATTGTCTCGATAGGGTCTATAGGGCTCGAACCAGCAACCTTCTTGCTCTGAGGCGATTGTCCTACCCACTGCGCTGACCTTATTTTGAATTATTATTAAATATAATACTACCTGACACGAATAATCTAAGGCTGTTTAAGTGATTTTTTTTCTATTAACATGCACAATAATATACACCTATTTTGATTATTATAAATCAAACATAACATAAGATACAGGTTTTAAGTTTAGGATACAAGAATTAGTGTTTGTTAAAATATTAATTTGTTAAAATGTACATTTAAATGTAATGTGAAATGAAAATAAAATCATTTAAAGAACTTTATGATACTGTATAGTTAATTTTTCACATTCATATGGAGTTTGTTTGACCTAAAACACAGATATTGATAACGTTATTGATAAAAGTGCAGTTATTTTTTGCATTTTTAATAAACGTTGATGGCATTGAACTGCTTGATACTACTCACAAATATTGGTTAAACATAATAAAACATATTTTTGAATATAGGGACTTTTTGTTTGTTTGGTGACAAAAATGACTTCAGTAATTTAAAAGCAATTGGTTACTTGTACTTAAAAATGTGAGTAAACCTGTTGCCTTACAATTATTAAATAAATGAACTATATGTGCATAATTATCAAAAATAAGTCACCTTAACATTTCTAAGATGGAGTTTAAACACTTTTTTAAAGTAAAGAAACTAATTGCTTTTTTTAGTTTAACAATTGCCTGATAGTGTTAAACAATCAATACCAGACCAAACCACATGCAGCTGCACTTAAAAAGTGGTAATTAATAAAACTAAACAGCAGTTTCAAATATAAACTGGACAATAACTGGACTGTACATGTATCTGTTTGTTTGCTGAAGTTCACCTTACCAGACCTCATTCTGTTCTGAACTGCTACTTCCTGTCAGTCCCTACAGGAAATGATACTTTGTTTCCAACCCCAGCCATTTAATTTGGTGAAAGGTTGCTTTAGTTCTAGCATGATCATTGTGGTCTGTGGTGTGGACGGCCTGCAATCACTGTGTTAACATATCTCTAAAAAAAATCTAATGAGAATAATTAGTTACATACATGCAATTTATTTAATGATGATGCAATTTTTTCTTTTAATATAATATTCATACCCTAATATATTTCAGTTATATGTATTCACTGTACATTGTGGATTCCTCAATGTTGAATAAACATGAATTATTCATGTGCTTTATATTTATCTAAATCTTTTTAGCAAATTTATGCTATGAAATGCAACACAGGCCTAATATCTACAGCCAGCTCTTACTGCTAAACACATTTATTAATAATGAAACTGTGACAGGCAACGCAGTAGGTAGTGCTGTCGCCTCATAGCAAGATGGTCGCTGGGTCGATCCTCGGCTCAGTTGGTGTTTCTGTGTGGAGTTTGCATGTTCTCCCTGCCTTCGCGTGGGTTTCCTCCGGGTGCTCCGGTTTCCCCCACAGTTCAAAGACACGCTCTATAGGTGAATTGGGTAGGCTAAATTGTCCGTAGTGCATGAGTGTGTGTGTGTGAATTTGTGTGTGTGGATGTTTCCCAGAGATGGGTTGCGGCTGAAAGGGCATCTGCTATGTAAATCATGCGCTGGATAAGTTGGCGGTTCATTCTGCTGTGGCGACCCCAGATTAATAAATTAATAAGCGACCCCAATATTAATAAATTAATAAGCCGACAAGAAAATGAATGAATGAATGAATGAAACTGTGACAGTAATGTCTCTACTTATTGGCTGACTTTTATTTCAATTAATTGATTGGTAATATACATGTAATAGCAAAAATGCCATTAGATTTTCCAATGGGATGTTTACAAAAGTGAGTTATTAAAATACACTGAACAACAATGAACTGGCTTATTTTTATCTAAACTTGATTATTTGTTGTACATGTACACTATAGACAGGGGCAACATGGAGGAATGAAACTTATTTTTTTGTTTGTTTTTTACAAATTTAAGTGGATTGAACACAAAACAATTTAGTTGTCGCTTGAAAAAAAATAATTGTTATATCAGCTCATATTAGACAAGTAGCTTGAACAAACATCAAATGTCATTTTTGAATTAATAATTTCACAATTTCTTAATGTTTTTTTACTTACTATAGTATATATATATATATATATATATATATATATATATATATATATATATATATATATATATATATATATATATATATACATACATATACATATATATACACACATAAGGTAAAACTCTTTGCAAACAAAACAAAGACTATCTTTAAAAAAGAAATAAAAAAACTAACATTTTATTTGTATTATATTCTAAAAATGCAACCAACTTTAGACAACCCCCTAGACTTTATTTGAAGGTCATCTTTACAGTGTAGAATGCATCCTGCTTTAATAGAGATGGAGCATGTAATGTTAAAGCCACACCCCCTTCTCATAAATAAAGCTCAATGTTCTCAGTTCAATCGATTCGACTGGAACGTAAACATGAATTTGTCTGGACTACATCCGCTGATGCTCTTTTTAATGGGTAAATACACTTTTACAATATTTATCTTGAGCACGGGACACTGAAACAGAAAGATCATGTTTGCCATAAATTTAAATAAAGTATACAGTAATAAAAAATAATATGACTACTATATGCAATACCTGACAAAAGCATACATTATAGTTATGTATTTAATTACAGCTATCATTATACTTTTCTTAATAATTGATTTTAAAAGTTGCCATGTTTTTATCAAAAAGTCAAAATCTGACATCTTCAAAATACATCTTTTAGGATTTACTTCAGTTTATAAAGCAATAGTTCATAAACTCGCGTTATATCATCATTTATATTATTTTATATTCTACATTATTAGATCATTTAACAACTCTAATGTTGTTTTTTGTTCTTGAGGAGCTCAAAAAGGTATATTTTAAGTCAGATTTGGGAAATGTGTCACATTTTTTGATTTTTTTTTAACAACAGCTTTGTTTATAGTATCTTCTTTTAAGCTATAGCATTTAAAAATGACCTTTGCATTTGTAAAGGCATATTAATTTAATGTTGATGTATGTTTTAAAAGGAATAGTTCCCCCAAAAATGAAGATTCTGCCATCAATTACTAAACCCGTTTGGGTTTATTTCTTCTGTTGAACACAAAATAAAATACTGATACTTGAAATGCTGGTACTTTTTTCTAGTCAATGGGTGCAAGCAGCATTCTTTAAAACCTCTTCTTTTGTGTTCAACAGAAGAAAGAAACTCAAGAGAGAGACACATGAGAGAGTATAAATGATGAGGCGATTTTAATTTTTGAGTGAACTATTAGGGGCAGCGCAGTGGCGAAGTGGGTAATGCTGTCGCCTCACAGCAAGAAGGTCCCTGGTTCAAGCCTTGGCTGGGTCAGTTGACATTTCTATGTAGAGTTTGCATGTTCTCCCTGTGTTTGCGTGGGTTTCCTTCGAATGCTCCGGCTTCCTTCACAGTCCAAAGACATGCGCTACAATTGAATTGAGTAAGCTAAATTGTCCGTAGTGTGTGAATGAGTGTATGGGTGTTTCCCAGTGATGGGTTGCAGCTGGAAGGGCATCCGCTGCGTAAATCATGTGCTGGTTAAGTTGGCGGTTCATTCCACTGTGGCAACCCCTGATTAATATAGGGACTAAGCAGAAAAAAAAATGAATGAATGAATATACCTTAAAGCCTATTGCGTATTTCGTGGTTTCAATTGTTGCAGTTGCAGATATATGTGCTTATTGAGAAATGCAGTATACAAGGGTTAAATACAAAAGAGAAAAATAAAATGATTAAAATAAACCGATTATACTCCTGCTTTTTTAGCACGTTTCTTTTGCCACAGTCCTATGAAAATCCATATTCCATATTGCTTTCTTTTCCAACAAATAATTCTGTCAGTCAAATTTCGTATAAAATTTTGTAGGGTCGGCACCAATAGGTTAGAGTTAGTGCATCAACACATGGCACTGCTGTTAAAAAGTGACCCGAATTCGAGACTCAAGGTCTTTTTCCAATCCTTCCCCTCACACACTGACTGCTTCCCAAACTTTCCTGTCAATAATCTCCACTATCCTTTCCCATTAAAACTGAAAACCCCATAAAAACTTGACTTTGTAGGGTCTTTAAATGCAGATATAGAGCAAATGTCCCCTACAGACATCCCTTCTGGGCCACTACTACAGTACACAGAAAGAATATACTCTGGATCATACAGAATATATTTACATTTTGTAACATTGTGTTCAGATGCAGCTAATTTTAAGTTTCAGTCAACATCTTTTTCTATTTTTAACATTGTAAAAAATATCTGTTAATTAAGTTTTGTTTTCCTTTTACTTGCAGTTGTGAATTGTATAATGGGAGCTTGATTTCTGCTCTGTTGATTTTTGCTGAAAATTCAACTCTACAGCTTAGCAAAGTGACTTTAATTGACATTTTAGTTGTTTGAAATAATATAATGTATAATAAATAATATAGAGAGAAATACGTCTTTAAAATAACGGAAAATGTTCTGGAAGTTTATTACAATTTTTTGTAGTGTAATATACAACACAGGAGCAGACAATATATCAAACTATTAAAGTATTACAATTTTTAGACATTTTCAAGGTTAAAAGTTGTTGGAAGACAAAACAAGTTTCAATAATGCAATTCAAAAGCATAAAAAAATAGAAAATATAAAAATAAAAACATGAATCACAAAATACAGTTACATAATTTTATGGATATGTTTACAGTGTATAACATGCTGTGCTTTACTTTTAGGTATCATCTTTGTAAAACATGCAGCTTTCATGGAAACAGTGTACAGCGGGACTAACGTTTCTCTTCTGTGTTCAAACATCCTGAAAGAGTCCAGTTATTTAGCCTGGTTCAAGCAGACAGATGATTCTCTGCCACTCTGTATTGTTACTCAATATGTTGGCCTGAATCCTGCTGACTCCACATATTTGAATGGATTTCAGAAGACTCGTATAGAGATGTCAGTGAATGCAACGTTTTCGACACTGAGGATTATCAGCGTGGATGTTTCTGACTCTGGAACATTTTACTGTGGAAGTTTTATCAAAAACCACATGAAGTTTCACGACCAAATACAGTTAGTGGTAGTAAATGGTAGTATTCAAATCTTCATTTGATCTATTAGCATCTTTAATTTATTACAATAATATTATTTGCTGTTGATTAATTATTTACTTGTTTGTTTGTTTGTTTTTTTATCTTCAAAGTAACAAATCGCTCTAATATAGAAATTGCAAATACGGATTATGGTATGTGTCTAACAAACGCATAAAAAAATGGTCCTTTGTTCTTTAAATTTTCTGTTATGCGATAGTAATTTTGTTCTCTTTATTTTTCTCTTTCTGTCTTTTTGTTTTTGATTACCTGAATGGTTTTAACAGGAACAACTGAAGAGACATCCTGCCATTTCTTTTACATGCTGACACTGATCTCGAGCGGCTTCATTTTGCTTCCCACTGTTTTCGCTATTGTAGTCTTAATCAAGCTGAAGAAATTGAAGAAGAAGAAAAAAGGTGTGTGAACAACACACTATAGCACATATGGAAACATTTAACTCATTTCTAATACAGCCAGTATAACATATTGATATTACCATATCAGTAATTAATGAGACAATAAAAAATATATTTCCTGTCTTGTTTTTTCTTAGAGGTGAAGCACAGTAAAAACAAAAAGATGAACAAACAGCTGCAGCACAAGGTAATATAAATTTAATATGTTTCTAATAAAAGGAACAAGACAATTCCTGATGAGTTAAGAAATCAATTCATAACCACTACTCTTAGTTCTTATTATCAATGTTTCCATGAGAAACCTTTAACATTCCTGGAATCTTTTCAATTCAAAAGGACCAAAAAGGCTCTTTAGATTATGAAAAGTTCCTGTGCATAAATTAAAACAAAATTCTGGCATTTCACTCAAAAAATGATTTTGCTATTTGTTTAAACTACTTATTTAAAATGAGCTAAATCAACACAAATCTTGTTTTATGTTCAATCCACTTACATTTGTAAAACCAATTATAATAACTGATTTGATTTTTTACAGTGTTTGAGATTTAAAAAAAAGTCATTCCAGATAAATTATTTAATTTCCAGGACATTTCATTATATAAAACCCACTGGATTATGCCCCAACACACACTTTAATGTTGTAAATTTGATGGTTTGTATTTTTGTTTTACATAAGAACTTCTAATAATGATTTCTATTGTTAGTTTTTCAACAGAAATTCTATATAAGACTTAAGTGTTCACCTAAATCCAAACAGCCAAGCAGTGTAAAATGTCAGACAATTATTGTAGAAAGCAGACAATAATTAGGATAATTAAACTTTGCTTGTTTGTTGATTGCAAAGTATGTTTTTTTTTTGTGTTGCCAGGAGCAAGATGAAGACCTGAACTATGCAGCTCTTAACTTAGACAAGAAGAGCAGAAGACCAGTAAGAAGCATGAGGACGGTGGAGCCAAATGTTGTTTATGCTGCCACTCGGTGATCAAACAATAACAAAACACAAGTGAAACTCTGCCTGTGCTAAACCACATGTTAATAACAGTAACTGCAGCTTACTGGTGTCTAGACTCACTTGACTTAATCTCTCTATATGCAAAAGACATTGAGTTAACATGAAACGACAATGGCCGAATGCATTTTCATTAACTTATGTTAACTAACATGAACAAATATTGTAATTTATGTATTATACATTGTGTTGATGTTAGTAAATACATTAACTGAAATTAATACAACCCCTAAATTGTTACAAAATAATTGAAAATTTAATTTATAATTTATTTATTCATGTTTTATATGTATATATGATATGTAACCATTCAGTTTATGAATAAAACTGTTTAATATTATTTAAATCAGTAAACAATGAACTTTTCATATCATTTTAATTATTTATTTTTTAAAAGGCAAATCCATTTGTATCATTTGTGTATACAAACATGATTTTTGTCATGAAGAAAAACCAAATTACCAAAATCAAAATGCTAATCATTCTTTTGCTCTATTATGTTAAATACAAAGAAAAAAGCTATTGTTTTTATCCGTGATTCGTCAGTATGCAAGAAGTTAGAACTAAATTTTAAAGCCCAGCCACTCCACCAGTAAGAAAAGACTTTGGTGAAACAGAAAATATATCAGTATGTTGCAACACTTTCAGAACCATCCACAGTCATTCATACAGATTTCTGACTGTTTTCTTTAAATAGGGTAACTGAGTACTAACTATATACACCATAAAGTCCAATTGGTTCAATTTTATCAATGTCAAACTAAATGACACCTCTGAATGCCCTTCCTGAATATCATTATATATGGCCTTTCTGTAGCTCAGGCTGTAAGTTTATTTCCTACACTCTCAGAAATAAAGATACAGGAGCTGTCACTGGGGCAGTACCTTTTCAAAAGATACTAATTTGTACCCAATCAGTACAAAGTGGTACCTCAAAGGTGCACATTAGTGCCCAAATGTACCTAAGAAGTACCTTTGAGGTACCATTATGGACCCTTCAGGTACAAATATGTACCTTTTGAAAGGGTACCACCCCAGTGACAGCTTCTGTACCTTTAATTCTGAGTAAGGAGGAAATTACAAAATGTGTACTGCACCTTCAATGCAATGTAAGTCCATTTCAGATAAAGAATCCACCAAATTCATGAATATGTTAACAGTTCAAACTGCTGCATTAAGGTCAGTTGCATAAATTGATTAAATCTGGAGAAGATGTGATAGATCAATATTTATGACTACTATACATTTAAAAAACTAGGAGAAAAAATGAAGTAAAAAAAGTCAGATTAATGAGAAAAGCAATGCTTAAAATAATGTTTTCTTGTCCAAATATGATTCAGCAAATGATAATACATAGTATTTCAGATTTTAAGTGTTTTATAACTCCTAACGATTTCACAATCTTACCTATCAGCTACAGCAGTGCAGCTTTGTTGGGAAATGAATCAGAAGATGGTTCTCTCATGTATAATGTACATCTAATGATAAAATTATATATACAGTTAAAGTCAGAATTATTAGCCCCCTTGTGATTTTTTTTTTCTTTTTTAAATATTTGCCAAATGATGTTTAACAGAGCAAGGAAATTTTCACTGTATGTCTGATGTTTTTCTTCTTCTGGAGAAAGTCTTATTTGTTTTATTTCGGCCAGATTAAAAGCAGTTTTTAGTTTTTTAAAAGCCATTTCAGGGTCAAAATTATTAGCCTCTTTATATTTTTTTGACAGTCTCCAGAACAACCATCCTTATACGACAACTTACGTAATTAACATAACCTGCCTAGTTAACCTAATTAACCTAGTTACGCCTTTAAATGTCACTTTTAGCTGCATAGAAGTGTCTAGATATTATTTATTGTTTTCAAGGCAAAGATAAAATAAATCAGTTATTAGAGATGAGTTATTAAAACTATTGTGTTTAGAAATGTGTTGAATTTTTTTTTTCTCTGTTAAACAGAAATTGGGGAAAAATATTCTTTTAGCCTACCTGAATTATTAGCACCCCTGTTTTTATTTTTCCTCAATTTCTGTTTAACAGAGAGAAGATTTCTTCTACACATCTAAAAAGAGTTTTATTAAATCATTTCTTTTAACTTATTTATTTTATCTATGTCATGATGAAAGTAAATAATATTTGACAAGATATTTTTCAAGGCACTTCTATACAGCTTAAAGTGACATTTAAAGGTTTAACTAGGTTAATTAGGTGAACTAGGCAGGTTAGGGTAATTAGGCAAGTTATTGTAGAATGATGGTGTGTCCTGTAGACTATCAGAAAAAAAGTTTTTGAAAAATTAAAACCTGCTTTTATTCTAGTCGAAATACAACAAATACATTTGTTTTCTAGAAGAAAAAATATTATCAGACATACTGTCAAAATGTCCTTGCTCTGTTAAACCTAATTTGGGAAATATTTAAAAACAAAAAATTCAAAGGGGGCTTATAAGTCTGACTTCAACTGTGTGTGTGTGTGTGTGTGTGTGTGTGTATATATATATATATATATATATATAGTGCATAGATATATAGTTATAGTGCATAAGCAAACAAAGAAAAGAAAAAAAAGACTGATATAGAAAATAACGGACAGTCCCAGGCAGCATTTTTATTTCTATTCGTGTTACTTCTGCTGATATTTACAGATGAAAAATATATGCAATAAACTGAAATTAAAATTATATAAAGCTACATAAAGAACTTGTTAATTAACTTGAACAACAACACAGATTGTGATAGAACAAAAGCAATAATGTCTCATCATTAGTAATGGTCTCAGCTAATGTACTGTGGTCTCTGAATAAATGGTTTCCTGGATGGTTTTCATTGAAGATCTTCTCGAGGTGGTTGGCTTTGTTTTGGAAAAGTGCAGGGCAGCATAATTTAGGTCATCTGTTTCAATCTACAGAGGAAGAAATGCCACAGAAAAAAAATATTCAGTGGATTTTCACTGTTACAAAAAAAATACCTATATTTTAAAAAGTAATGAGTTCTGAATGTGACATTGAATGGCGTAATGAAATGGAATAATGCTTAAAACTCAATGTGCTAGTGTATATATTAAATACATTTTTAAAAATATATTCAAATAAAAAGTTATTTTTAAATTGTATTCCACAACATTACAATTTTAATATTGATGAATAAAATAAATACATATGGGAAAATATAAATATATTTACATTTTTTAAATAAATAGTTCTTTGTGAAAATAAACTTTAATTTAGGTGTTAAACTTGATATACATAAGTGTTTTCCTGAAGTAAAATTTTTCATGTTGACAATATGCAGACAATATAGCAACATGCCTATAAAACATTATTTTTCATTCTCTAGAATTTTAAGGAATTATTAATTACCTGATTAATGATTATTAATGATTACTATTAGAATGACAATCACCTGATTTATCTGGCTTCTGAGATGTTCTGTAGTTTCTGTGGAACATACAGTAATGAGATAAACGTACAGATCACTGGTCTAAATGTCTAAGTAGAATACCATATATACATACACAGTGGTGTGGAAAGTGTTTGCCGGCTTACACTTTTCTTTCTTTCTTTCTTTTTTTTTTGCATGTTTATCAAATCTTTAATGTTTATGTTTATCATCCTTAATGTTTCTGATCATCAAGCAAACTCAAATATTTATATGAATGCCCAGCCATCTGTTAGTGACCTCAAGCTGAAGCAAACTTGAGTTCTACAGCAGGACAATGGCCCAAAGCACACCAGCAAGTCCACTTTTGAATGACTGATAAAAAAACTAAATTAAGACCCTGGAGTGGCCTAGTCAAAGTCCTGACCTAAATCCAAATGAGATGTTGTGGAATGACATTAAAAAGGCAGTTCAGGCTCAAACCCCTCCAAACCAGTTATTAGGGATAGGGGACAAACACTTTCACACAGGGATATGTAGTTTTGTATTTTGTAATAATTGTTTTTTTATCTATATATTTAAAACTTATGTATATTTACCTTTTCTCCGATTCTTTTGAATCACCAAAACTATGTTCACAACAATGGATGTTACACTTATTGTAAACAGGATGACAGCAACTGGATTCCAAAAGAAGGAAGCTGAAAATTAGCAAATGATTATATTGATTTAGGTGTTAATTTGATGTATTATTTGATTTGTCTGAAACTTTTTTGTACCTTCAATAGTCAACTTGGTCCCATTTCCAAAGTGTATCTTCCCACATGTGTCAACGGCACAGTAATAAACTCCAGCATCAGATGTAGTGAGTTCAGTCTGAGAGAGACTATAAACACAACTCTGAACAAAAGAGCTCTTCTCTGAACTTTTCAAACACTGATCGCTCCGGTTATCATGAGTGTAAATGATCCCTGGTTGAGAATATCCTGATGAGTGTTTAAACCAGTAGACTCTGTAATGTCCAGCACAGATGTGACTGCTGACCGAACACTGCAGGGTCACTGAATCTCCTGGATGAAGTCTGTCAGACACAGGCTGCTGGATAACAGACGTGCTGCTAATTCTGTCAGTTTCTGAAATACATGAAACATTCTGTAAATATATTAATATGCAATAGATGTGCAAATTATCATGGGCATTTGTTTATTGCAAACTTTTCTTTTTTACCAAAAGGGCTCATTACAAATTTCAAAAGGCACAGAAGTGCTAATAAATATCTGGTGTCTCATATATACTGTAAACATGGCATTTGCACAAAACAGGTGGAAACATTAGCATGCCATTTCACATGCAAAGTTTATAATCTATACAAACCAAACTTGATGGGAGAATATGCACAGCTTTAAGTAAACTCAAAGAAAACATATTTAACTTATTAAATATTGACTTAATTGAACCACTATAAATCATTTTATTAACAAATAATCATTAGTAAAACAATTAAAATTTGTTCTGGCAGATGTTCACTTTTAGAAAGGTTCTACGCAGAGTTCTATACAGTTCATGAGACCCCAGATCTGTAGGCTGACGTGTGTATTAGTGAATGCCTCTGATATGAGTTTTTGGTTACTTCTTAGGTTTTTAGAAATAGAAAGCAAAAAAGGGAGTGAACTGTGACTGCCTCTTTTGCTTTGGCTCTCTTGCTTTCTGTTTTTCTCTTTGCCTTTCTATCATAACTTTACACGTTAAAGCTGGGTTCTATTACCTCATACATTTATTTCATAACTTACTATTATTAAATAATTTCATGTTTAAGTATTCTGTAAATTAATTTTGATTTAATATTAATGGAGTTAAACTGCTCCTTTTTGCAATACAATATAGTCACACAAGAGCAACAATCTCCTACATATTTAGTTATTGTAACTGCAATTTCAATGTTGGTGTAAGATTAGAGAAGGTGGCTGAAAAAGAAATGTACAGTTGTGGGTTTTTTGGGGGATTAAAACTGTGACTATATCTCTTTTTGCTTCAGCTCACTTGCTTTCTCCTCTTTCTTTCTCTCTCCTCTATCTTTATCAGGTACATTAAAGCTGGGTACAATTAATATAAATTATTTTGTGACTAACTGAGTAACCCTCATTCTTTCATTTTCTTTTCGGCTTAGTCCCTTTGTTAATCTGGGATCACCACAGCGAAATGAACCTCCCAATTCAGTAATCATAGCAAGATATTGTTATTAAATCATTTCATTTTCAACTATTCTGTGAATTACTGCTCCATATTGCAATAGTCACACAATAGCAACACAATTTTGATTTTCTAACAGCTCTTTTTTTTCCATCGTTAGTAAGATTAATAAGCTTGCAGATGGCGTTGAAATGTACAGTTTGTACACCATCATGCTGACAACATTTCTTAAATCATTCAGCAATACCACAGCTTGAACCACTGCAGTTACAAAGCCTTACACACATTTATGTGAATTTCAGAATGCAAAAACTGTGATTAACTCACCTTTGCGCAGCAGAATCGTTCCTTCTCCAAACATTAACCTGTTCAAGAAATCCTTAACACAATAGTAATTTGCAAAATCTTCTTTCTCCAAGTGAAGGATAGTTAAATTATAACAGCCACTTGCAATTGTGATAAAGAATCGATTAGTGTTGTTGAAGGCATTTTGATATGTAACTCTTTCTGAGTTGAAATCTGAATATGCTATAAGAAGTGGTTTCTTGCCAGATGAATGTTTAGTCCATGAAACAGTAGTTACATAGTCATCAGAGTGAAAACAGGGTAAAGTCACACGGCTTCCAAGTTCAGCAACTACCAGTGGCTGCTGATGAATAAAATCTTCTTCACAGGTCCCATCTAAGACAACAAAAACAATCAAATAAACAATAGGAAACAAAAAAAGGAAAACAAAAATCATAAATATTGTGATTGGTCAAACAATATTTATTGTAATAAAACAACTATTATTACAATATGTTATTTCATGGACAAAATACGAAAGCATAAAAAAAATGTATCTATTTTTTCGTTTTTACAAGTTTCGTTCAGCTAAAAAATCTTCCTTTGAACTTGAAAGAAACAGAGATTTGACATTATGATAAACATCATTATTGACCAATATACATTTTATTGTGGTCTTCTTGTCATTATCACCCAACAGTTTAAACTTACATGCAAATGTGAGGAGAAAGAAGGTAAAACAACCTTGTAAACTCATTTTGCAGCACCTGAGAAAAGAAAAATAAACATTTCAAGAAATCTGAAAAATGAAAATAATGAAATATTCAGTACTTTACCACACATTTTCATTTGATAAAAAAATCTTGAATTTAAAAATGGTCTATTTACAGTACAACCACGTGACAAAAATATTCTTCAAATAAGAAAAGAATAAACCTATTATAGCCCTCTGATATATTTATTGAGACACACAGATCAGGTCCAGTATATTCAGTTCAGACCATCACAATACAAGTAACTAACATACCTTTGGTTATGTGTTGGTTTGGTAGTCTAATTTCAGACTGCTTCCTCTTCAAAGCACAGAAGCGGTCAAAGATCAGACACGGTTAAAGAAAAAAAAAAAAGAGGGGCAGAGCCGATTTCCTTTAGAAGAATCTTTTTTAACAGATGCTTGAACATGTATAGTGATTAAATGAACAGATACCATAAGAAATGCACACCTAAACATTACATCAGGTACCAGTTAGATTAATGTGTGAGTTTTTGTATCATTGTGTTAAGCCGACAACAATGTTTTTAAGCAATATTTGAAGCAAACAAGAGGTGCTCGAACTGTGTGGAAATGTGTGAAAGGTTCAACATGACAATAACTCAAAATGCAGTTGAAAAGACACTTCCAATAGACCAGTAGTCATAAAATGAACAGATATTTTAAGGGTTGATTAAAAGGCCTCAGCTGATGTTGAGCGGCTGTATCTGCATGTAAAGACACATTTAAAGTAGTAAATTTGTGGATGTTTTTTATGCTCATGTACAGTTCATGACAAAAGTGAAATCATAATCGAGAACCACTTTAAACACCTTCATCAAAGTATATCAACCTTAGCTTTCATGTAAGAGTGGAAGTATTTTCATCAAGAAGTATTTTCTACACAAGCATTATTTTGTCTAGTAAAAAAAAAACATGTCTAAATTAAGTGAGTTTTTACATTAAACAAGCAAAATAATTTGCCATGGGGTAAGCAAAATAATCTTGTTTCAAAAGAAAAACCAACTTATTTTGCTTTCCCCATTTGCAGATTAATTTACTTAATTCACTTAATTTTGACTCAATATTTCTGAAAACTATATTTACTGCTTGTCTAGAAAATATTTCTTAATTTAAGAATTGTTTAGATAGTTGGACCAGAAACATGACAAAAACACTTGGAAATGAAAACATTTTTTTTTCTGTGTAGTCATTAATTAAATGGATTAAGACGTCTGGTCTCATTCACCTCTATTGATTTTGAGCTGTACAAACTGCTTGTTCCCCTTCGGGGGGAACTTCAGCACTATAAGTGGATTTGATTGTAAAATCCACGCATTGGGAGGTTCGGTTCAGAAGCTACTCGTCTGAAAGAGTATTGAACGGGCCAATTAAGAATAAATTGGCAGCGCAAGCCTGCGCAGGTGAGCGGCATAAGCAATCAACTGAGTATATAAGCTCACCTGGCGCAGCAGACGCTATCCTTTTCGCTTCAGAGACTTTCTGATCGAGTCGATGAGGGTTCCTCCTGCTGTGACCAGCGATTCTGAGCGAACGAGAGCATTCTCCCGGTCCAGAGTGTGTACACGCAGTGGCAGACGGTCGAGCTGGGTTTCTCCCTTGCCTGGCGTTCTTTGGGTCCGGTCCTCCAGAGCGGTGCGTATAAAGTTGCAAACTTCACAGAAAGAGCAACACAGTCGTGCAGCACGTCCTTATCAGGACGGCGCTCCGACTGTGCGTTTCTGGATGCGGTGGTTTCCTGTCCTCGGATGATGGGCGCGGGCACTGTGTTACATGTCTGGGGGTCCAGCATGTTAATGCGCTGCTCGCGGGCAGTTCATGTCGTCATCGCGATGCCATGACTGTTGCGCAAGATCGCGGTTAGCCTTTGCAAAAAGGCGAACCACCCCAGTTGTCCCCTGCTCTGCAGCGGGCACTCGGGCAGATCTGAGGGTTTCAGCGAGAGATAATCCGTCGCCCACGGGCCCGCGGACCTCCCGCTCCTCTAAGCGCTCCATCCAAGCTTCGGGCGGAGGAAGCGATCCGTCTAACAGATGGTAGCCCTTACGCCCGATGACACCGGAGACCAGATGTCCACCGCGGCATCGGAGGGTGGGCTTTCATTGTCCGATGATGATCCAGACCCGCTCGCCCCCTTCGGGCTGGTGAGCGCTGTCACTACGGATCCTGAAACGGACATGTTAGCCGTGCTTTCCCGGGCTGCTTCGGCCGTGGGTTGGAGATGGTTTATCCCCCAGCTCCGCGGCCGGACCGACTAGAGGGGTGTTCCCTTCTTCCCGGAGGTGCACAGTAGGCTCACGCGGTCTTGTAAAGCACTTTTTTCTGCTCGTGCTGCGTGTTCCTCCACCCTAACCACTCTTGACGGTGAAACAGCCAGGGGGTATGTGGCGATTCCTCAGGTTGAGTGCGCGATGGCGGTAAATCCGCGCGGCGCCTCTTCTTGGCGGGGTCCGCCTCGTCTCCCATCCAAGCCTGTAAGTTATCTACCTCCCTCGGAGCTAGAGCTTACATAGCTGCGGGCCAGGCTGCTTCCGCCTTGCATGCGATAGCCACCTACCAGCGCTACCAAGCGCAGGCGCTGGCCGAGCTGCACGAGGGTGGGTCCAACCCAGGCTTACGAGCTTCGCACCGCCGCCGACTTAGCTCTTCGGACTACTGAGTCCGCGGCGTGTGCGTTGGGGAGGACGATGTCCACATTAGTGGTCCAGGAGCGCCACCCCTGGCTGATATGCGCAAAGTCGACAAAGTCCGCTTTCTTGACTTCCCCATATCCCCAGCCAGGTTCGGCGACACTGTCTGTGAATTCACCCAGGAATTCAAGGCGGTGAGAGAGCAGTTGGTGGGTGATGTCTTATCGGCGGTCCGTAGCCCGCTCCGCCCGCCGTGCCATTCATACCTGCTCCTCGCCGAAGGCGCCCGCCTACGAGAGCTGCTCCGCCCCCGCACACGCCTAAGGCGAAGCGAGCGCGTCGGGCACCTCGGAAGCAGGCAGCCCCCCTGCCCAGAACGCCGCTAAGTCCGGCAACGGACCGCGAAGCGCCCCTGGGACAGGCCATCTGGAGAAGAGGGAACTTGCTCTTTCCCCGCTGGAGGGCGGGGCCCCATTTCCAACGGCACTTTTTACTGCCATGAAAACATTATGAAAGGGCACTTTTCACTTCCCCAGATGTGACAGCCCGAAATCTGCCAGTCTGGGACGCTATGCTTTCTAGCTTGCAGATTCGGTGCGTTTCGCCAGTGGCTCACGAGCGCTGGGAGGACGGTCTCCTTTCTCCCACCCCTCGAGCCTCCCCTCCGGAGCTCGGGTTTGGAGTGAGAGCAAATATCTCACCTCCAGCTTTTCCGTGGGACCCGCGAGCTTCCCGGATCAGCACACCCACTCCGCGCTGCCCCACTGCTGGTACGTCAGCGATTGTAGCGATGAGTCCATTAGCGAGAGCTCTGCCTGCCTGGTTAGCGCGGGCCAGCTCTTCGCGGTGGCTCATACGCACAATCAGACTCGGCTATGCGATTCAGTTCGCGAAACGGCCCCCCAAGTCACGGGTGTGTATTCACCAGGGTCAGCCCCCTGTCCGCCCCTGTCTTGCGAGAGGAGATTGCTGTCCTCCTGGCGAAGGATGCAATCGAGCCGCTCCCTCCAGCCGAGATGGAGAGCGGGTTTTACAGCCCACGCTTCATCGTGCCCAAAAAGAGCGGTGGGTCACGGCCAATCCTAGATCTGCGCGTTTTGAACCGCTGCCTGCACAAGCTGCCGTTCAGAATGCTCACGCAGAAGCGCATCCTCCGGTGCGTTCGTCCTCTGGGTTGGTCTGCAGCATTAGACCTGATGGACGCGTATTTCCATGTCTCCACTCTTCCTCGCCACCGACAGTTTCTGCGGTTTGCGTTTGAAGGTCGAGCTTGGCAATACAAAGCCCTCCCCTTCGGGCTCTCTCTGTCTCCGCGGGTCCTCACCAAGCCCGCGGAGGGTGCCTCAGCGCCCCTTCGGCTCGCGGGCATCTGCATACTCAATTTCTTTACGACTGGCTGAATTGCCCTCTCTTTTGATTATGCACAGAGTTGATTATGCACAGAGACAAAGTGCTCTGGCACTTCCACCTGTGGGGGTTTCAGGTCAACCGAGAAAAGAGCAAACTCGCCCCCGTGCAGGGGATCTCTTCTCTCGGGCTGGAGCTGGACTCGGTCACCATGGCAGCGCGCCTCTCCGGAGAGCGCGCTCAGCTGATGCTGTACTGTCTGAGAGAGCTCGACAGTAAAATAGTGGTCCCACTGAAACAATTTCAGAGGCTCCTGGGGCATATGGCATCCGCAGCCGCTTCATGCCGCTCGGATTATTCTATATGAGACCACTTCAGCACTGGCTTCACGATCGAGTCCCCAGACGCGCATGGCACGCGCGCGCACACCGAGTCTCTGTTACTGCGCTGTGTCGCCGCGCCCTCAGCCCTTGGAGCGACCCCTCGTTCCTACAGGCCTGGGTGTCTCTAGAACAGGCGTCCAGTCTTGTTGTCGTTTCAGCAGACGCTTCCAACACGGGCTGGGGGGCTGTGCGTTGCGGGCATGCGGCTGCGGACCTGTGGAAAGGTACCCAGTTGCATTGGCATATCGCCTGGAGCTGTTGGCAGTGTTCCTCGCTCTCCACCGTTTTTTTCCGGTGTTGGAGCGGCAACACGTGCTGGTCAGGACGGACAGTACGGCGGCGGTGGCGTATATCAGCCGTATAGGGGGTATGCGCTCTCGCCGCATGTCTCAGCTCGCCCGCCGTCTGCTCCTCTGGAGTCATCCGCGGCTGAAATCGCTGCACGCCATTCATATTCAGGCAAGCTCAACCGTGCAGCCGATGCGCTCTCACGGCAGCCTTGCGTCCTGGAGAATGGAGACTCCACCCCGAGTCTGTTCAGCTGATATGGGCGCGATTCGGGGAAGCCCAGATCGATCTGTTGCTTCCCCCGAGATCGCTCATTGCCAGTTGTTCTTTCCCTGACCGAGTGCTCTCGGCACGGATGCACTGGCTTACAGCTGGCCTCGGGGCACGCGCAATACGCGTTTCCCCCAGTGAGCCTGCTCGCGCAGTTACTGTGCATGGTCAGGGAGGACGAGGAACAGGTTGCTGGTTGCGCCCCTCTGGCTCAACCGGACCTGGATGTCAGAGCTCTCCCTCGCGATAGCCCTCCCCTGGCAGTCCCTTCGAGGAGCACCTACTCTCTCAGGGACAGGGCACCACCTGGCACCCTCGCCGATCTTTGAAGAGATTTTTAGACGCGAGGAAGACTTAGGTAACCTCCGATTGCGGTGGCTAATACCGTCACTCGGGCTAGAGCCCCCTCCCCGAGCGCGCCTATGCCCTGACGTGAAGTCTATTCACTGAATGGTGTGTCTCTCGCTGAGAAGACCCCCGTAATTTGCCAGATCAGCGTTGTGCTTTCTTTACGCCGAGAGAAGTTGGAGAGCAGGCTGTCGCCCTCCACACTCAAGGTTACGTGGCTGCCATCTCCGCTCTCATAACGCGGTGGCTGGCAGCACCGTGGGAACGCATAACCTCATCATCCGGTTCCTCAGGGGCGTTAAGCGAATTAATCCACCCGCCCCCTCTCATGCCCTCTTAGGATCTCGCCCTCGCTACACAAGCCGCGTCAGATCCCTTCGATCCTCGACTCAGTATTTTCTGTCCCTGAAGACAGCTCTGCTGGTCGCGTTGATATCGATTAGAGGGTCGGGGACCCGGAGGCATTTTTCGGTCAGTGACTCGTGCCTGTAATTGGGCTGGCTTCTCTCACGTATGAGACCCCGCCCGCGATATGTGCCCAAGGTTCCTACCACTCCGTTTTAATACGAGGTAGTGAGCCTGCAAGCGCTGCCCTCGGAGGAGGCAGACCCAGCCCTTATTTATTGTCCAGTTCGCGTTTTGCGTATTATCCGGACCGCACTCAGAGTTTAGATCATCTGAGCAGCTCTTCGTCTGTTATAGCGGTCGGCAGCAGGGAAGTGCCGTACCGAAATAAGTTCCCACTAGATTGTGGATGCCTTTCTTTCACTATCAGAGCGAGATGAGCCGCGTCCCCCGAGAGCGCGTGCGCACTCCACTCGGAGCTTCGCATCCTCTCGAGCGCGCGCACGCGGCGCCCCTCTAACAGACATCTGTAGAGCTGCGGGCTGGGTGACACCCAACACATTTGCAAGGTTTTACAATCTGCGAGTGGAGCCGGTTTCCTCAAGGGTATTAGGTAACCCTTGGTGATTGAGGAAACAATTCGGTAGGGTGTTGAAACACGCTTGCTGCGCCATTTTCCCTAACACGGAGATACGTGCGCCTTTTTATCTGTCAGTAAAGTTCCCCGTCAGGTGAGCCCTGCAGATTCCTCCGTGGCCCCCAACACTGACTCAGCGGAGGAGTCACTTGCTGGCCCACTACGTTGTAGGTCTGCCCGCTGGTCAGCCCGCGTTTTGGGTAAAGGTGCCTGCTATGCGTGGTCCCCACTAGGCGATCCCATATGCTTATTCAGCCACGGTTAAGTCCCCCCCCCTGGGCGGACCCGTGTCTTCCCTCCCCGCTAACCACTCTTTTGCTATGCGTACTCCCCCTTTTTAGGGCTAGTCCATATGTAAATTCTGCCATCTATCCCCCCTTGGGTAACGGATGGCCTCCGCAGCGTCCTCCCTATCGGGATTGCACGCTTCCCAACGTACTGTCGTATTTTCCTAGAATTATCTAGATGCTCACGACTTCCCAAAAAATATATATAATCCGTAAAACTTCTGTTGAAGTAGGATAAATTAGGGCCAGGGACACGTTG